TTTAATGTGTCATAAATTGATTTTTGTTGTAAATATGCCTGACAAGATTGTTACACTGAATGACATTTTAGTGGTTCTCTTCTGTAAATCAGGGGAAAATGTATCATGTTTATTTTTTGCTCAAAAAAACAAAATTGCAATTAAATTAAACAGAATGTATTTTTTTGGGGGGGGGGACAACAATTTAAAGCAGTATTACACTTATTGTTTTTATGCTTAAACTCTTTTTCGTCTTTGACCCATATACTGTATATATATATATATATATATATATATATATACTGATGTGGATTCCAGAAGACCCTGTGCATCATGATGAAAGTGTGTCTGTCAGCACATGGTGGCGCTGTTGTGTCTCAGATGTTTGTTGTCTCTCTCTGCTGTGTGTCTCAGTGAGTCCCAGTGAGAGTAAGTGGAGCTCTGTTTGGCCGCTGGAGTCTCTTCCTCTCAAGCAGACCAACGGTGAGAGGAGATTCGCTCCTCATCTGAGCCCCAAAAGCCCCAAGAGTCCAAAGATCCTCCGTCTGAGCGCACAGGAGAACAGGTACATCTGTGTTTGTGTGTGTTATATCAGAATGTGTCAATGAAATTATTAAATCTGATGTGTGTGTGTTTGTGTGTGTCAGTCTGTCGATGAGAGCCAAACTCCTGGAGGTGGACAGTAACGAGAGCGAGGACTCCAAAGCTGATTTTGAGGAGTACAGACCCATCACACTAGAGTCCAGCCACAACGGTAACACACACATACACGCACACATTTACACACACACACACACATAATAAGACACACACACACAGTGATCGTGTGATGACAGCGTTACCAATCAGATGTTGTCAGTTAGCAGTGGTTTATGAATAATTGATTAGGTACATTTATGGTCTCTATTGTGTTCATATAGTTAAAAATGACCTATGCATATGAATGAAATCAGCTAAATATTCAGCTCAGTAATCATTTTTTCTTCCTTTTTTTTTTAAATGAGGGCTTTTCCAAAAGGAGGTATTAGGAGTTTTTGCCCCTAAAATATGGTTAATAGGTATACACACAAACACACACTCACTCTCACACACACACATACACACACACACACATATAGGAACAAAGCAATCCGTCAAAGAGCCAACTTGTATACAACTGTATGAAATTTTCTCTATTGAGTTATTTATTCTTTATTTATTGTTTATTTATTGTAATTTTCATTTTTAATTCATGTGTGGTTGCTTTTACCAGTGTTTGTGAAAATCCAATCTTTTCAGTGGGAATCCACACAATACTGAATTTCACATGAAAGCAAAAGGTTTTCCCGTGCTGATTTTGTGATGGGTTCAGTTTGGTCATGGATTCGCCGCACTGACCAACAGAAAGCTTTGAGCTGTGTTCGATTGACAACAGACAATGGACCTGCGAAATTTTGTTGATGTGACCAAAACTTAACATTGTTTACTTCAGTTTGCCTCAAAGATAGCCCTTGATGCTGATATATACAGCGGTGGCCAAAACAATTAGAATTCTAGTATTTTCAGACGCTTCAAGAAACCTCCTGCAAAGCTCCTGAGAAACTCTGCTCAAGTGCACCGAGGACAAAAGCTGCTTTAAACACAAAGGATGCTCACACCAAATGTTGATTTCATTTAGTTAATAGAAGTTAATTGATAAAGAAAATCTATTGATGACATTATTGTTGACAGCATCCTCATTTTACAGCATTTTTACACAAGTGCCTCAAACGTTTAACAGCACTGTAGCTTTGCAGGAGGTTTCTTGAAGCGTCTCGGAGAGACAGTTCTTCTGGATTGAGTCTGTCTCAGTTTGTTCTGTTTCTTCATGTGACTCCAGACAGACTGATGATGCTCAGATCAGATCTCTGTGTGCAGCACAAACATATATCTCACTGCATTATTACAATTAATGGCAAAAACTGATATTTCCTACTGACACACTACAGCAAAAGATAGAAATAACTGACTTAAAACCATATTTTAGCTGCTGATAATACTAGTGTTCTAATGATTTTGGCCACCGCTGTATGTGGAATACGAATTACGTAATCAGATAAATTTTTCAAGTAACTAGTAAAGTAACACATTACTTTTAAATTAACAAGAAAATATCCGAGTTACTTTTTCAAATAAGTAGCGCAAGTTACTTTGTTTTTCTATTTATTTACTGACAGCTCTCCTGTCCCTGTGTTGAGAGAAATCGGGAGTAAGTGCAGAGGCATGTTCTTCAGCCTGAGGCTTGTTCATTTCACTCTTAATGTGAAAGGGCCTTAACAGTTGTAATTGTGAATAACTTTTACGACTCCTTTTTATAATGCAGATTATTCACCAGGCTGTCATTTCTAGTTGGAGCGTGTGGACTGGAATGCCGTAGCACGTAGCATGATCAATCATTAAATCAGTACTAACAGTTCGCAATTAAATCCATATCCTACCTTTTCTTGTAACCCGATAAAATCAATCCATGGTGATGAACGTCATCTGAGATGTTTACTCCACAAGCATTCTGAGCATTATTCCTGTTTGCTGGCGTTCACATCAATCCACAAGTCGTTCTTTTAGGTTAGGATATTTCATTCAAGTCAATATAAAAGCAATTACGCTATGTCTAGCATTCTTTTGAGCATAGCGAATAAATTGGTTGCAAAACGGTATCCACTTGCATGTTTAACTTTTAGTCTGCTTGTTATGGTCAAAAAACAATTAATACAGTCTCATTACTATATGCAATAGCCTATAAGACATCCCATGATCACTATGTTTTATACAGGTGTCTATAACGATTTTATAAATGGTGATCAGCAACCAAATATTGATAATGTGGAAGTTACTGCCTTTTCCCTTGGTGTGACTTCGCACTTTTTGCAGACAATGCAAAGGCAGAGTACAGTAACTTCATAATAGGGGTAAAAATCAATTTTGAGCTCACAATTTTCATTACTAAAACATCCAGTTGCCAAATTTTCAGTGTCCTACCTACAATACAATTAATTTGGCTGGACAAATAAAAAACTTTAAAGTCATTTTTCTTAGTTTCACACTCTAGCGAGTTAAGGTCTTTTGCCTTTGTAGGGCAGCATTGCTTTCCATAAAAAGTAATTAGGTAACATTTATATGGAGTAACGCAATATTGTAATGCATTACTTCTAAACGTAACTCTGGCCAGCATTGTACATGTAGTGAATGTTTGATGTTTCCCGGTGTGTCTCAGAGGGCTCCGAGAGCGAGGAGGGCGGCTCGTCCCCGTGCGGTTCTCCCAGACCGGATCCCCCCGGGCCGCTGTGTCGAGGGAAGAGCACACACCGTGCTCTGCTCAGCAGCGCCGCCCTGCTGGCCTCTGTAGCTCTGGGCCGCTGTGTGGAACCGCAGCACCATCCCATTCCACCACCGCGGGCCTCGTCCCGGGCGCACCTGCCGGAGCCCGAGGCGGTGGGGGATCTGATCAGCTTCAGCATGGACTCGCGGCCGCCGCCGCCTAACCCGCGGGACCGCCGTGCTCCACACGCTAACGGAGACGCCGAGGGGCCGCCGCAGAGCGGGGAGCGCAGGAGGAGGAGCAGCTGCGGACTCAGCTCCTCACAGCTCAGTAAGACTAGTCAGCTTTAATTATACAGCTTTATTGCACTCACAACTTTATTGAAAACACCGGATCATGAGCTGATCGTCTGAACGAAGTGTGCGCGTCGCTTTGAAATAGGGATGTAACGATTCACTCAACTCACGATTCGATTCGATTCACTCATTTTTTTTATTTTTTTTTTACAAAATGACAAATTATAAACTAAATGTGTCCTTTTATTATTGTTTGGACAAAATGCTGCACGTTTCTTTGTGAAATTGAAATATAACACTATAATAGCACTTGCATATTATTGCTCTTTTGTTGGTTTTGATTGCTTCTCATTTGTAAGTCGCTTTGGATAAAAGCATCTGCTAAATAACAAAATTTAAATATAATGTAAATGTAAATAACAAAACTAAATTGAAATTTTAAAACAAACCCCAAATCAAATAAATAAGTAACACAAATAAAATAAATCTCTTCATATAAACGAACTAAGGCTTTGTCTGTGCTCTTTCCATTTAAAATTAGAGGCTACCACTGCATTTTAATCACGATCCAAACAAAGATGCTGCATACATGCAACATGAGCAGATTTTAATCTAAATTAGACTCATTTCGAAATTTGAAGCAAAAACAGAATGGTTTGACTTCAGTTTTGTGAAACTATGCATAAAAAATATCTGCATGAAACAGAAACTGCAGACGAGCTGAACGAGACGCAGATGCACTCTCTGCCAGCAGGCGGCGCTTAAAGCGTTTCCTTGGTTACTGCTGTAAACAAAGCAGCGCTGCGCTTATGAACAGCAATGATACAGCGTTTCCTTGGTTACCGCTGTAAACAAAGCAGCGCTGCGCTTATGAACAGCAATGATACAGCGTTTCCTTGGTTACCGCTGTAAACAAAGCAGCGCTGCGCTTATGAACAGCAATGATACAGCGTTTCCTTGGTTACCGCTGTAAACAAAGCAGCGCTGCGCTTATGAACAGCAATGATACAG